CCTACAGCACCTGCTATTCACTGGCGTTCTCCCATCCAGGTACTAACCAGGTCTGACCCTGCTTAGGTTCCAAGATCAGACATGATCTGCTGCCTTTAGGGTATTTAAGTGTCACCAAAATATATAACAGGTTCATAGCCAAGTGCCTGTTCACAAGCCCTGCCTACCTGCTGCCAACTGCCTCCAAGCATGTGGAAAGTGTTCAAGCAGGGACTGAGACCGCCTTAAATAATACATTGGGAACATTGTGTACAAGATATACTTTGCCTCTGCTTATAAATTCTCCAGCTTGGCAAGGAAATTACAAGATAGTTACCATTTTATAAGTAGACACCTTGTCCCAAAATAAGGCCTGTATTCTCAGGAAAAACTCATAGATTCTCCAGGGTGCAAGCCCAGGGATCTGTTTTATTGGTCTACAGCTGGTGGTTTGTTTGGGACCGGTACTGGTTTATAGCCTGACAAATAGGTGTGCAATAGCACATCTATAATTATTACTAAAATGGTTATTATATGGCACAAAACAGTAGTACAGTGGGCCCTTGGTATTCGCTGAGGTTTGGTTCCAGGATACCGCCCTCCCCTGTGGATACCAAAATCCATGGATGCTCAAGTCCCATGAAATACAATGGCAGAATAAAATGATATCCCTTAAATAAAATGGCAAAATCAAGGTTTGCTTTTGGGAATTTACATTTTTTTTAAAGCTGTGGGGATATATATTAGAGCCATGGATAATGAATCTGCAGATACTGACCACACTGTGGGGTTGATGGTAGTTGTTGGCCAAACCATCTGGAAGGCCACTTTTCCCCACTTCCTGCCATTCACGTTTGAAATGGCACCCAGCAGAAAACTGGGATACATTTAGACACACACACCTTTTCCCAAAGTGAGCAACAACCAGGTGAGTCAGCCAGCATGTTCCACCATCCCCAGCTGCCCATTCTCACTGGCACAGTGGGCGCTGTAATACAACACGGAAAAGGCTGGTACAGACTGCAAAGGTGGTTTTTCAGGTTTCTTGCTGCACATTTTCTGCTTGAAGTTGCTTCTGTCTTTCCACTCCACCCCTGAAAACCACATCCCTGGCAAAACCACCACTGAGTATTCCTTACCTAAGAAAATTCTATGAAATTCTTGGGATCACTATAAATTAACAGGCAACTTGAAAACACACGTACACACGGAGCTGTAAACAGATGTCATAACTGATCCATTGTCATAACACAAAATAATAAGAATGATAATTATCTTTTCTCCCTATGAATCAAGGCAGGAAACAACAACAGATGGAAATACAACACATAACATCAGTTTAAAATCTGTTTTAAACCAGTTTAAAACACAGAACATCAGATTAAAAGAACATATAAGACCAATACATATTAAAACAATCAGTCCATACTTTAAAATGCCTGATTTTAAAATCATCTGGATAGGCCTAAGGGAAGAGACTAGTCTTTAATGCTGTTTTAAAAACAGACAGTGTACTTAGTTGTCTGGCAGGTCAGTCTAGGGGCAGCTAATTAAAAAGTCCTCTGAGTGACAGGTGCCAGTTTAGTCCTGGCTGAATGGAGTAAATGTCCCCCAGGGGACCTGAGTGTAGAGGATGAATTAGATGGAAGGAGGTGATCCCATAAGTAACCTGGACCCAAACCATGTAGGGTTTCAAAGGTAACAACCAACACTTTGTATCTTGCCCAGAGACTAATTCGCAACCAAAGAAGGGTTCTTAATATTGGTGAGAGATTATCACTCCTAGATATACCAATAACCTATCTGGCCTCCATGTTTTGAACAGAAAGATGTTTCTGAACTTGGTACCAAGGTAGGCCAGTGTAGACAGGACTGCAGAAATCTAGTCTTACCATCACTACCATCTTTAGATCCTCCAGCTCTAGGAAGGGGCCCAGCTGGCATAACAGCTGAAGCTGTTAATAAGTACTCCTGGTCAGCGCATCTATTTGGGCTGACATTTGGAGAGACTGATCCAGGAGCACTCCCAAGCTGCGGACATATTGTTTCAGGGGGAGTGTAACCCCATCCAAGACTGGGTGACACACCTCCAAACCCAAGTTAGGATCCGTTTTGTCTGGATTCAGTTTCATTTTGTTTGTCCTCATCCAGCCCATTACCTCTTCCAGGCATTCATTCAGAGGAGACACACTATCCTTAGCTGAGGCTGCTTTTGAAAGTATGGGGAAATATATTTTGGTGTCATCAGCATACTGATAGTACCCTGACCTCTGGATGATCTCTCACTCCAGAATCAGTCAGAAATTCTCTAGCTGAAAGAAAGAAAGATAAGTATTGAATCTGTCCTTGGGAATAAGCCCTATTGAGCTCAGAGGGGCTTACTTCTGAGTTGGCATGCATAGGATGACAGTGTTAATCCCAACAACAGTGTGCTCTTGGTCGGTCAGTGGGGGTGGGAGGTGTATGCCCATTTAGGTGGGAGTTTTAAATTTTTATTTTTCTGGTATGGGAAAGATGGGTCGGGCCCCACTCCTCGATGCCCAGGCAACAGCATTAGATATGAGTGCTTTTGCCTGGGTAAGATAAGGCTGACGTACTAATGCAGGAGTGGTAAGGTAAGGCTGCCATACCAACACAAGTAAAAAATAGTTGGGTTTAAGTATGCCAGAGTGAAAACTGGAGAGGGTTCCTGTACCTTTGATGGATGTGTAGAAGAGGTAATTTGAGCAATTGTTTGTTATTTGCTTGTTACCTGGTGGCATGATAAGCAACATCTGCTGAAATCCCTTTTCTATACAACCATTAACACTATAGGAGCCTTCTCCAGTTTTTAATCTGGCAACCACAGGCTCTCAAACCCCACATCCCACCATCACCACTTTAACCTCTCTATGGACCTTATCACACGGGGTCCAAAGCAGACAGAATCCAAACGAAATCCCAACCTAATACGTATTATTTTTCCGTGTGTTCACACGACGTCGCACAGAACCCCGACAGAATGCGGCAAGAACCAAGATCTTTTGTACTTTGGTTTCTTCAGGAAGTACAAGTGCGCAATGGGAATCATTTCGCTTTTACCGTAAGGACCTTATCAGTTTGGAAAGACAATACGTATTGGGGAGCATTTCCCCACCACCGCCTGCGCTGTCCCCCAAACCCCTTCCATTTACATATTGTGGGGTTCCTTTCGGTTTATTCCTGGATTTATTCTTATTTCGCTTTCTTATCGTTTGTGGCCCGCGTGTGATAAGGTCCCATAGTTCTCTAAAACAAGGTTCCATTCAATTTCAATTGCTAAATATAATGGGAGAGATGTGTGCTGTCCCCTTTATCATTTCAACACTGGCACCAATTGCACCCACTGTAGGAGAATAGAGACTTGAACATACTCACATATGCCTTTGCTGCATAGATGTTGAATTACTGTGCCATGGTCTCCATGGGGCCATCCTTGAAAATTATTCAACTGGATTTATTTATTTATTTATTTGCATATTTATTTCCCACTCTTTTTCCAAATATCTTAGGACAAGATACAATAAAACAACATGATAACCTGTGCAACTGATTGTTTTGTAACAAAAAAGTAACAACACCAACAGTTCTGCCTCTTTGAAAAAACAGCTGCAGAACATCTCAGCCTGCTTGGACCCACAATAAGGGTTTACTTTACAGGTTGTGGTCCTTGAACAAGAAAATTGCAAAGGAAGACTCGAAAGAGAAACTGGTAAACTAAATTATTATCTCAAATTCCAATTCGTTAGCAGAGGTATGAACAAAGACAGTGGCCTCATAGCACACTATATATAGTGTATTAATACAAGAGACGTCACTCCTGTGCTTATATCTTCTCAGAGAGAATTTTGAACCCTCAGAAACTGACTTTTGGTAAGCAGATTTGCTTTCACACATCAACACAAACTAACCACCATAAAGATCTGAAAGACCTGTATCACCTTGCCCAGCCCTTTAAAAATTTAGGACAAGGGACATGATTTTCATCTTTCTAGATTTTGTTACATTTTATCTCCTACATCTGTATAAATATACTTTATACCTGAGACTTTAATACCTTTCTGAAGAAGTGGATTTACATCCACAAAAACTCATGCCAAAATAAAACCCACTCTTAAGTCTTAAAGGTGCTGTCCTATTTCTTTTCTTTTTTCCCCTCCCTCTCCCTGCCTTCTTCCTTTTTATCTTTCAGTTTAGTTGGTTTTACCTATGATATCTGTCTAGGTTTTCTTCCTTTTTTTAAAAAACAAAAGTGTTAACAAATGGAAAGATAGAATATAAATGGTTAAAGGAATAATACTCCCATTTCAGCTGCAGATTTCTGAGCAATTAATTTGCATGACTGGGAATGCAAAAGAACCATCCAAGGCATGTCAGCTGAAAAGTATTCCTCTCTGAACTCAGTGAGAGTGCCTCTCAGCTAAAGATGTATATTGAGTTTCTGCTGGAAATCTATGGTATCCCACTCTGGTCCTCCACTAAACAAGCCTTGGACCAACAAAACAACACATTCCCTCTGGTATTGTCTGTTGAATTAGAGTTCTTATCTGTGGGAATGAGATATTTGGGATGCCTCCCCTTTTTATTTAAGGGACCTTCTGGGAAATGGAAACCAAAGTCTTTGTTTTCATTGATGCACACCAGCTTCCTGTGGAAATAGTTTCATCCACATCCCTCTCCTCCCTCAAGTAATGCTTTCCATTGCACACACTAGCCAAGGAGGCAGCCCTTTTGTACATCAAGTGAAGTTGAAACAGATCTGGAAGTACCCAAAGAGCACAGCCAGAATAACACAGCCTCTCCTTGTACAGCCTCTTTGGCAGCCTCTTTCACTACAGGGTTGTTGTTGTTGTTGTGTGCCTTAACGTCATTTCCAACTTGTGGTGACCCTAAGGCAAACTTATTGTAGGGTTTTCTTGGGAAGTTTCTTCAGAGGAGGCTTGCTATTGCCATCCTCAGGCTGAGAGAGTGTGCCTTACCCAAAGTCACCCAGTGGATTTACATGGCTGAGCTGGGATTCGAACCCTGGTTTCTAGAGTCATAGTCCAACACTCAAACTACTACACTACACTGGCCCTCTTTCATTAGAGGTAGGTTCCTGATATTGCCAGCTGTCATATTTTAAGGGACCTTCTGGGAAATGGCAAGAGCAATCTTCAATGCCACTGAAAAGTAAGACAACTGCTTGGGACATTAGATTAGCTATTGCCACAATTAGCTGCCCCATGTTCAACATCTTATAGCTAGATGGAACAACACAATATATGACTGTGTGTGTCTTCAAGTATGCCATGGGTTTCATGGGGTTTCCTTAGACAAGGAATTCTCAGAGGTGGTTTTGCCAGTTCCTTCCTCTGAAATATAACTTACATCACCTGGTATTCCTTGGCATATCCAGGTAATTGACCAGAGCTGACCCTGCTTCCAAGATCAGACAGGATCAGGTGTCTTTGGAATATTGTCTTCTCCAGCAATCCTGACTCTCTTCCTACAAAGAGGCCTCTGAGAGGCACATTGAACAGAGATGTGTTTATTTCAAATGGTGAACCAAAATTTATTGCTATTATTTTATTGCCTTTTTCGTTCCCAGCAGGGCCAGGGCCAGGGCCCTGAGGGTGGGGTTTAATGAGCCTAATCTGATAGTCTGCAAGGCCTTCCTGTATATCATCTGAAAACAAATGCAGGCTACGTGACTCCTCTAACATCGCCACTTTTCCTCCCACCACTACTCTCCTGCATGTCTCATTTTACCATTTGTGCCTGACACAAGAACCATGTCTGTTCCATAAGTTTGCACAATGAATTCTTCGCCTAGTAATTTACCATAATGTGGATTTTGCCTTATGATCAATACGAGTACCCTTGCATTTGGATAATTTTATCTCTGTGACCATCAGTATAGCTTATTTGATTACCCCTTTTGATTATTATTATTACTTGTCTTAACTAAATATGACACCCAACTATCTAACAGTTGTTAAAGATAAAAGTTTGGGGAGAAAATTCCAGCCATTCATCTGCTCCCAGGTTCTGTATTTGGGTTACGCAACTCTCCCCCGCCCCAATTCCTGCTTAGAATGGCACGCATATTATGATATATTGGCTTCTTAGTGTATGTGCATATACAGTGGACCTTTGGTACAGTGGACCTGGGGTTTGTTTCTAGGACCCCCTGTGGATACCAAAATATGAGGGTGCGCAACTCCCCTTAGATACAGTGGCACAGTAAAATGAAGTCCTTTATACAAAATGGTAAAATCAAGGTTTGCTTTTGGGGATTTATATATTTTTAAAATATTTTCAAACTGGATACTTGAATCCATGGAGAAAAAGAGTCTGTGGGTATGGAGGGCTGACTGTATGTATGTATATGTATATGTATATTTGTGTGTGTGTGTATCAGTGTGGTGTAGTGGTTGAGTATTGGACTGCAACTCTGGGGAGTTTTGATTCCTTGCTCAGCCATGAAACCCACTGGGTAACCTTGGGCAAGTCACATGCTCTCAGCCTCAGAACAAATTCTCTGAACAAATCTTGCCAAGAAAACTCCATGATAGGGTCGCCATAAGCTGCAAGTGATTTGACACATACACACACCCAACATGCAGTCCAACATTCACTAAACCACACTGATACACACACACACACTATTATGCAGTTATGTCTCAAGCTAGACTTTTGACCTCGTAACAGTTCCGTATTCACATGTATAATTGTGGCACCATTGCCATGACTGCTCATCTCCCTAAAAACCACCTTAAAAACCAGGCAGCCATTCTGAGCAAAGGAGGCCTGTGGAAATCGAAGGTGACACATCCAGAGGGGGCTGAGGATGTTATCTTTCAGCGGTCCACTCACCAATGTTGCAGAACTCCTTCACTTGGTATGGCTCCCTTATCACACGGGGGCAAATCTGCTGGTTAATCCACACAAAA